AGATAGATAGATAGATAGATAGATAGATAGATAGATAGATAGATAGATAGATAGACCCCACTGTATGAAGGAGACACTGACATAATATATAGATGTTACTGCACCTTGTGACCCCGTTCCAGTGTGTATTCTGATGTATTTTTGTATATTAATGTGTGACCTCGTTTTATTTGTGTGTACTCATGTGTGTCTTCGGGGAAGGATGTGTGTCTGTGTGTCTGTGTGTTTGTGTGTGATGTCGTTTTTGTGTGTATACAGATGCGTGATTGTGTGTTTGTGTGTGATACCATTTTGTGTCTGTGTACTCATGTGTATCTTCTGGGGAGGATGTGTGTGTGTGTGTGTGTGTGTGTGTGTGTGTGTGTGTGTGTGTGTGTGTGTGTGTGTGTGTCGCGTGCGTGAATATTGTTCGTACATGCATTTATGTAAAACGCCTAGAGCTGTGTTTGCACGGGAGTGGGCGCTAAAGAAATGATCTTCATTATTATTATTATAACACATAGGCAGTGCAACTTATAGGTTTACTTTAAACTTTAACTGTTGGGCACTAGACTGAGTCTGAGTAATCTTACATGCGTTCGTTTTTATGTTTTTATGCCACACATATAGCTTTTACGCACTTCGCTGTCGTGAGAAGGAGATCCAACTTCGATATCCACGTGGGGATCTCAAGAATTTTTCGGTCTTTCTGATGGGATGTTGTATCCCCCTCAGTCTGGGTTGGCCTTGACCAATCCTTGTCCTCAGTGTTGGGGTCACTACAGTCGGAACATAATGTCCATCTCTGCTCTCCCCTCTTCAGGATCCATCTCAGAGTCTGTCTGCTTACTGTCTCCATCATAATCTGGTTGGAGATCCTTCGGCCAGGTCCTCACAGGTGGCCGTGTTTCCCATCTCCTTCAATCTACCTAGGGTGTGGGAACTTCTGTCATATTGTCAAGTTGTTCATTTCGAGTCTGTTGAGTGGGTGGTTGGCGGGTGCTGCTCTGGTTTTGTTTGCTCCTTATTTCTTATCGATCAAACATCTCTCGTCTTTTCTTTCCTCTTTATTTTTTTGTGTTTGTCACTCGCTTGTAACACCTCTTATTTCCGGCACTTACATGACCTAATAATTTTTTTTAAACCCACCCCTCAACCGTTACTAATACATAAAGAAAGAAATAAAGAAATAAAGAAATTGATTTTCGTTTGTTTGTTTATTTTATTTTTTAGCATAGAAAAACACATCAACGGTCATTTGGTGTTGGGAAAAAGTAAGACAGACGAACAGAGGTGCAGAGCCAACTACGAGGAAAAAAAGACCTACCACCAATTAGCACCCTCCAACCACCCACCTGTTTATTTTACTGGGTTCGAAGGGTTTGAACCGTTTTGTTGGTATCTGCCCAGGACAGGTTAGACGTGGCTTGCGACATGCTTAATTCATAAGAGTTGGCGTTTGCGTATATCACATACAGGGTGATCCCCCCCCCCAAAAAAAAAAAAAAAAAAAAAACAACGTACAACTTGTTTTGTAAATATCTTCCTCCGTACTGAAGTTTTGCGTTTCAGATTTGAACGTAACATTTGGAAACCAAAAGTCAAAAGGAATTTGTCTGATATTCATTTTAGATAAGTCCATTGAATGGTTTTGCTCTAACAACCCATATTCAACCTTGTCGCCATTTTCATAGCATGACGCACTAGTTCGCATTAGGCCTACCACTAAAAGTTGCAACAATGGTGCCCGATTGCAAGCTATAACAGTCTAACAAGTAAACAGAAATCTGCAGATATTATTCTTCCCAAATTCTGTTTGCCTACTGAGATCGTGGCTAGGTTTACTATATTAGTAGAGATAAGAGAGTTTTTTGTATTGAACATTACCTCTCCACAAACTCTCCATCCTTGACATTTCGTAAGTTCTGCGCACGGCATGGAGAGAACGCTTAGGTGTCCTAAAGTCCTTTGACGTCAAGAGAAGAGAATTTCTGTCAGTTCGGATCTATAGCAAATCAGAGCTAAAAATTTCCTTTAAAAATGACCACTTCAGGTCGAACACGCACCAAGCACAGTCCTTTCAAAGTCAGCATGGTGCAGATTTCAGTAGTCGAGTCTCATGAGACGTCTGTGCGTAGTCAGTCTGCAGCTAGGACTTTCCTTCACTCAACAGTCTGCATTGTCATGGCAGATCTTAACCTAGGACTGTACCACTTTCATCTTCGCTAGGCCGAGATGACAGGGATCAGAGCATGGCAATGTGTTCATGATTCCTCGATTGTCTTGAAAAGCGGGATCATTTCCTCGATGACATTTGGTTTAGTGCAAAGCCCATTTTCACCCTGCGGGATGTATTAACTTTAAAAATGCTGTCTATTGGGCACCCGACTCCCTATTGTCTCTAGAAGCCACTACATACTGAATATATACAGGGTATGTGGCTGCAAACACTCATGGTTTAGCAGGTCCTTGTGTTTGAGGGCCATTGAACATTTTGAACGATGCGTAAGAATGTGTCGAGTCCAAAGGAGGGCACGCAGAGCACTGCTACTAGGAATTTCAGAATGAAACCGTTATGTTTTTTTGTACTCTGTAAAAAAAATTAAATATTGTTTAAATGTCGCAGGGAAGGAAAATTAAATGTTAAAGAGAAAATAAAGAAAAAGATCTACCAATCGTTTCACGACTTCCTTTAAAAGATTTTTTTTAATGGTGAACTTTGCGTTTTTGAGTGCTTTTTTCTTTAAGCCATTTCCGTT